TATAAGGAAAGATTGGGCATTTAAGCCTTTTATTATTCACATTGAAGAGCGTTCCAGTTAAACTTTAATTTTCAATAAAATTAAATCTCGATAAATGTAGATCATTCATTGTCTAGAATGTATTTCAAAATTGATAACTATTTGCCATGGACAGACTTGAGGCTAGTGTAATAATCCTGCAAGAAATGATGATGAGGACCTAAGGAGAAGGAAGAAAAGAGAGAAATTATAAAGTAAAATCCATTGTTTTGTAAGTGAAAGAAGCCTATAATGAAACAAGACTTGGGGCATTGGTGAATGGATGGATGGTTGATATTTAGCAGTGAGTTATAGAACACCGGAGGGGTAGTGCTAGTTGGAGAACTGGGGACAATAAAAATGCCAAAGGTACACATGGAAGATCTAAGTGGACTTTTAATATAGAAATCTAAAGTTGTAGGGGGAGATTGGTAGTAGACAGGTGTATTTGGGGTCTTCAGCAGATAGATGGTAACTGAAGACAAGGGAGTAAATCAGATCCTCCAGGAAAACTTGTCAGGAGCAGAAAGAAGAGGTTAAAGCCCAAACTCTGGACAGCACCAGAGGAAAATGCTTTTTGTTTTGTTCTATTTAATCATTTTTTATTGATACACTCTAAGAACAGCAATAATGAATTTTCAAATAGCTTTAGCGTGTAAGAAGATACTTAATATAAATCCACTAGGAGGGAGAGGACTCCATTAAGAATGTCTGTTTAAAAAGAAATTCCTGGCCAGTTCCCAGGACTGTGAAATGGTAAAGAAATATAAATGTCCTCCTCTGCCCTTACTCCGTAGACTAACTCACAGAATAGAGAAGTCTTCCCCTTTTTAGCCTGACTGCCTTAATGATAAATAAACTGTTACCCAAGTATTGCATGCCTGTTTAGAATCAAGTTGTGCAGAAAGCATCCTCTCTCCTAGAAATACTGATTTTGTGATTAACTAAGAGCAAGATGCTCTTTTTCTGATCACTCAGTGTGAGGAATGAGGTGTGCTGAGAGAGAGGTGTGAGAGTTGCTCTAATATAAAAACGAAACCACTGACAGGCACACAACAGTGGCATGTCCTCTGGAAGGACTGAAGTGGTAAAAGTTACTCCCTTATGTTGTATTTTAGTTGGCTTTCACAAGTTCATCTAGCTTTTGCCGTTATTTCACAGTCCTTTCTCAATTCCTCAGTCAAAGCAAAGACATGGAAATTAGTGTTCTTGAACCTCAATTCTAGGTTTAGCAATTTTCTCCATGGAGTCAAGGAGATAACTCAAGTCTCCAACCAGTGTTACCACCTGCAAAGAGGGTGCATTAAAACTCGAAAGACTAATTAGATGTGCATGAAATAGACATCTAAAATGTTCATCTCTGTACAGCTAAAAGATCTTTTGCTGTTTTGGGAACCTAAAATGGTTTACTAGTAAGTTGCATTTGCTCCTAGACTCATAGTATGTTCTCTGTATTAATGATGCAGTTGGCTATAGAGACTTGTGGTTGGTGTTGATCCTGTTTATTGCCTGTAGGACATCTTCGTACTTGTGATTGGATAGACCCAGATCTGAAGTCCATGGACAAGTATGAGCTAGAGATAAAATCTTGTGAGAAATCACCTAGGGATGATTTCTAGTTAAAACATGGCATTAGTCACAGTTACCTCCAGAGTGTATACATTTAGAAAGCACTGTTTTAAATATACAGTTCTAGACAAAACCTGCAGTTATGGGGCAGATCAAGGAAGAACCCAGAAGCCGACCAAGTCATTCTGTTAACTGTTCTATATCTGAGAAGGCAAGGGAGTAAATTTAAAAGAACAGGAGTGGTCAACAGTATCCATTGCTGTTGAGAGAACTTTTAATACAAGGCCTGAAGAATCTCCTCATTGGTTGATGCCAAAGGACTGGTCTGCTTTAGGCAAATAGCAAAAGAACTGTCACGTCACTTACTCTTTGTTCCTGCCAGAGGGTAGAACCAGGCTCAGAATGGCAGCAGAAGTTAGACCATCTTACAGAGATATGGAAAGGAATTCTTCCTTGGGTAAGAGGTTAACTATAAAGCTTCTTAACTCCTCTGGAAATGAAAGATGCTACTCTGCTGGCTAGTATCAAGGTTGCCCAACTTTGAATAATTGGCAATAGGGCTTGAATGTAGGATTTTTTATTGCTCTTAGGGTCTTTCATCAGTTAGAAGGGGTAACATCTTAAAGTTGGATACGCTGAATCATTAGGCAAGCCAGTTGAGGTGCCCAAAGGAACATGCACCCTTTGATATGCACACACTGAAGCAAGGCAGCAGCATGTAAATAACCTATACTCATCTGTGTAGCATTTAACTTTGCTTTTTGACTTTTAATTCAAACTAAACATTAATGTAAGAAGTTTTGATAATAACCCATGAACTTCATCCTTTTTAGAAGGTAGTGTAGCTCTCTTCCTGTAGCGTAACCATAGCAACTGACAAGGAACAGAGAAAGAAAGCTTTCACACATGCTGTGCTAATTAATCCTGTCCTACAGTTTTCTTTCAGCTGGAGGATGCAGTTTAATAAATTTTGCATGAGTAAGCGTGTTTTGATGCATGAACTGTATAAATACATAGCAATATCTTTACTAAAAATATTTATTTAAAAATGCAGTTATGTATTTCTACTTCACGGTATATTTTCTTTGATCATTGTTTTAATAATTTGCTCCCTCCCTGAAAAGTTTTGGAATTTATTTCTCTTTTTAACTGAATAGAAATTGTTTTAGAGTGAAAATCTTTTGTTTATCATATACAGGACACTTTCCAGGAAAAAAATGTTTTAATTGACTCTATTAAAGTGAGATGTGAAAGAGTTTTCCTCAAGTGATGCGGAAGAATGTATCTTAAAAATACAACATTTCTCAATATGACACATTTACATGCAAGCCATTTTAAAGAAACTGAACACACTGAAGAGTTAGATACTGAAAACTCATTTTCACTGTTGATTTAGAAAGTTATGAGGCCCATGTGAATCGAGTTTGGGTCACCTTTGACCTAAACATGTGAGATGGAGAAAAATAATGTAGACCCAGAGCTTTTTCTATTTATATTTTTCAGAAATATTTAATCAGTTTAATAGAGCGAACATAATTGATCTGAAATCACATATCATTATTTAGACTTACACTATTCCTAGGCTATCTTGAGTTCTGGTTCTCCATTTAAAACCGGGAATATCACAGTTTTCTATAACCAGTCTGGTCTTCTGAGCTGTCAGAGAAAATCTCAGATTTTTTCATTCTCCTATCCCTCTGGCCTAGCATTCTGTCAACAAGGCCTTGGCAAAACCAAGGGAATCCGGCCTGAATGTCTTTGGCATCCCATTTGCCTTGACAACAGCATATGGAACAAGTCAGAACCTATTTCAGGACTTGTGCTCCGCTGTTTGGTCTGTAGATAAACATACTCATTTGAGGAACTAAACCTTTTGATGGAATTACTAAACTCTGGAAATACTTTACCATCTTGATTGTTTTATCTGTTGTTCAGTTTTGCCTGGCAAGGATATAACCTTGCAGAGCAAAGGAGTAGAGGTTATTATGGAAATCTATTATCAGAAAAAGCTATTCTATTCATGTGCAAAAAAGTTAGGGACTGTGTATGTGTATGTCTGTGTGTGTATTATCTGTACATTTTAGTATGGAACAGTTATAAACATTAACCAATTTGTATTACGCCATTGTTTTGTGATGAAAACTGCACTGTAGAAAAAACTGAGTTACTGTAACCATAGCTGAACTAATTATACATTCTTTGTCTCACCAGCTGCCCTATTAATTTTAACATTTACATATAAGACATTAAAGGGAATACCAAGTGTCTAATAAACAGAAAAAAAAGTTATGCTCCTAAGTACTACATAAAAAATTTAAATAATTAGAACATTAAAGTAAATATGTTATGGTAGGTTCACTGTAAAATTGGTATATTTGCTTTGAGGATCACAGTGGTAAATAATACTTTACAGTTGTCATTAATGAATATACCCGGATACAAAGAAAGCTATCACACAGATTTTTTCTTTTTTAAAAAAAAATTTATAGATTTTGGAAGTTTCTTTGAAGGGAATTATGTATTTATTATAGAAAATCTGGGAAAAATCAGAAAAAATTATTAAATTAAAAAAACTGATAATCCTGTATTCCAGAGCTAACCATCAAAGACATTCAAATATATTTTCCTCTATTCTTGTTTCAGTGCACATGTGTTTATCATCGTGAGGTCTAACTGCATGTAATTTATCACTTAACATATTACTGTGACCTTTTTCTCAGTTTTCAAAAATTCTCAGCAAATTTAATTTTTTATATGGCATCTCATCATCTCTTTGTACCAGTTTTATTTAACTATTCCTTTATAATGATTTACTTAAATGGTTTTCAAACGAGCCTCCTGAATCAGCATTTCCTAGTGTGTGTTTGACAGCACCCTGAAACCAAAAAATGTCTTGGAACAACCCTTTGAGGAAAAAGTCACAGCCTCTTTTTTCAGGTTCACAATATACATTAGAAAAGTTGGCACTGAGAAGTCTCGCAGGATGGAGACCTGTTTTACTTTTTAAACCACCTTTTCTCGAAGTTTCTTGACCTAGAACCCTTTCTCGTAACACTTCTTTGTACCTCTCAGAACTAAAGTGCCGTGAAACATTCTTTGGAAAGCCTAGGAGATGTCTAAGCTTCTGTGTAACATCCAATAGTTTATGAATCATTTGTTTCCTCTCCTGGGGCTTTTTGGATTCATGAAGCTCTATTAGAAAACATAAATGATTTATAGGTTACTAGCATGTATTTGAAACAGGTAGACCACAATATGCTTTCCCCAACCTTTCTAGTAAGCCTTGACCCTGCAATTGTGTTTCTCTATTATAATATCATGTTTGACCTTTTAAAAACTGTCAGCTTTCAAATGTAAATTCCCTTGCTTTATTAAGGCCTATTAAACTTCTTTGTGTTTCATGTAACCCACAGGTCTTGCAAGAGCAAAATCCGTCCCGAGCCACACATACTCCAATGAAGTGGTTACCCTCTGGTACAGACCTCCAGATGTCCTCCTGGGCTCGACAGAATATTCCACCTGCCTTGACATGTGGTGAGAAATGGAAGCTTTACTCTAGCTAATTTATCTGTAGTGCTTGGTCTGGGTCAAGCCTAGACAAACATCCTAACAGTCTGAATGAAGATTAATGGTACTGGAGTGTTTGCCTGTGTGTGGCAATACTGCTGGGTTTTTTGAAAACATAATTGAGAATATCCCCTAATCAAGGACTCCCTTGCAGATGATGTCTGGTAATGATTCTTGATGGACAGGGGCAGAGACATTTTTCTAACTGTCAGTACAGTGATTTTTCTCCCTAAGGATCTTAATTTGTGGCTTTAGCTTAAACAAGGAAATAGGTATCTCCAAATGGCAGCCTGGGTTGGAAGAAGTAGGGAGCACATTTGAATTCACAGCAGAGCTCAGATAAGTAGTCTGAAAATTCTAGTGTCATTATTAGGTGCTGAAGTTGACGGGGGGATACTCCTGAAAGCTGTTGGTACCAATTATCCAAAATGAAATAAAACAATTACTTTTTGAAAATATCACAGTAAGTTTAATTTCAGTAGACTCACAATTTTACACAATGGTTTAGCAAAACTTAAAAATCTATCTTAGGAGATCCAAAGACTGGTGAGACTTAAGGTACAATTAGTATTAATGATAAACTGTGATAAATTCCCAATCTAGCATGATCTAAATCAAATAATCAAAGAAGGGAATAATCTTATTTTTTAGTACTCAGGAAGGGCTTAATAGTGAATGTTGAAAATGTCCTTTATTAATAGAAAAATCCCTTTTCTGGACTCACAGTTGTATTCAGAATAAAACAATTCACATAGCACATAGCTATTTGATAGCAGGAATCACCTTCCATGAATGATTATGTCCCACATACAGAATTCAGCTACATGTTCACATAATGTTTATGACCTCAATAAAACTTCAGCATGTGTCATTTATCTTCCTGCCGTGTATTACTTCATTGCTCAACCCTCAATCATCTTGGCTTTTAGTAAATTAGGCTGTGATGAGGCCTGGCTTCTTCCCTGACATTTTTGATCCAAACATTTTATGGAGAGAAAACAATCAAGTTCCTTGCAATGTAGGACACAGTGTAGATTTCCTTCATTTAAATTCTATCAACCCCCTTAGGAGTGGGATTTGGGGATCTGTGAAGCCACTGAAACTATATGCAGCGTTTGGTGTACCCATAGATATATTTATTTTTATGGAGGGTAGATCTGTAGCTTTCAAAAGAGCTATGAAAGAATCTGGGTCATCAAACAGCCTAAGATCTGTTGCCATAAATTTTGTAATGCCTTATAATAAATTTAATGCTGTTGTAACGCTTGCTCCAAAACACTGAGAATAAAGACAATCATCTGTCATTGAGGAGCTGAGCTAATTCATTTTTTTCATCACACTTCCTGGCTTTTATGGACAGTTGTTTACAGAATTAGATTTTTTTTCCCCAAGGCTAAGCAGGGGCTTGAGCAAAATAGATATTTTGATCATTGGTTGTAAGGGAGGGAAAGACTGGAAATAAAGGTCAATGAATGCGTTTGGATATTCCCTTCTTCCTTTCTGCCTCATAGTTGAGAGTTGGCTATGCAAATAATCATTACTTAATAGTCTTGAGTTATGGAATGTTACTCTCTATTTTTTGAGTATGAAAATTCTAGATTGTCTTTCAATGAGGTCAGTTAAGCAGTTAAGGACTCTGCTAATAGAACATAGCTTGGAAATATTTGTGGCTTGGAGCCAGTTTTGTGTTTGTGGCAGTGTAATTAAGACTCTACCCTCAGAATCAGGAGAAGCTGTTTTTTATACACTAGTGACTGGTTTTTCCCAAACTTCTGAAAGTGCTCTGTAAAGTACAAAGAACCACATGGATTGTGACGTGCTAATATGCTGGTTTCTGATTTGATTCCCAGTCTGTGCCTCTCCACCCTCGTCCCCTCAACCTTTCTTTCATGTTTATGTGCCTATGTGTGTCCCTTCTCTTGAGGAAGAAGACTTGGTTGCTTTCTGGCGATTTGCTTTAAACAGAGACGTAAATGAAGCATGAGAGGAAGATGGTTATTTAAGTGGAAGGGAGGACAACTGATATGAAATAGCAGACCCCAAGTGCCCTTTTGTCTGCATGCCAAGATTATTCATTGCCAAAAAACAAATAGTAAATGTGTTATGTTGGAGCAGTTTCCCATGCTATTGGCTCTTTATTTCTACGCCTTAAAACCTGAATTATGTCTATGCTATGCTTGTCACTCTGAATCTGGTTTCATTCCAGGCCTTTTTCTAAAAGCCATTTTGTTTTTTTTTTCTGTAAGTTAGGTAAAACGTATGTATTTTTCCCAGTTAGAGAAAAGTTCACAGGGCACTGATTTTTGCATAATCAGTGACCTTGATGCTGGATATTCAAAGATCTGGAAATGGGACTATAATTGAGTCAAGGCTCAGCTGCACAAAAGAGTGGTACAAATATTAACCCATAGACAGTAGCAAGGAGGCAGGTGGCAGTGATTTCAGGCTATTTTTATACCTCATTTACCATCCTGGGGCAGTAGGGTAGTAACTAAAAACTAACGATCCCTACACAGTGTTACAATTTCCAATTTTCTGTTTAAATAGCCTCGGGCAATAAAAATATTAATGAAGACACTTCTGCATTAACATTGGCAGCAAGTGATGGAAATCAGAGCTCTCTGTGTTATGATTTACTGCTGTAGGTCTCTAGCACCGTGGCAATGTGTGAATATGCTGTGCAATTTGAGAACTCATCAAGAAAGATAGTTTGGGAGTTAGAGATTTGCTATATATAAAATAGATACAAGCTTATATTATATAGCACAGGAAACTATATTCAGTATCTTCTAGTAACCTATAATGAAAAAGAATATGAAAATGAATACCATGTATGTATATGTATGACTCAGCTATTATGCTGTACACCAGAAATTGACACAACATTGTAAACTGACTATACTTAATATATTTTTTAAAAAGATATTTTTTGGTATCTTTGTCTTCCTCCGTGAAGGAGGATTTAAGCAGAGGACTCAAACTGGACACTGTCTTGTGTATAACTTCCCTTAATTCTTGGATTTTATAGCTCTTTGAAAGTCAAGGCATAGGAAATCATCTTTAAGCTTCTAAACCAAAAAGACTTACCACGTACCGAAAACCACATTAAGAGAAGCGCAGATGTGAAAAGGAGCTTATCTGTGTAGTTCCTCCCTTGTCAAGGAGTTCCTGCTCTATCTGTCGAGGTCATTGCTCTAAATAAGCTTTATATTCCTTTAGAGAAGCTCATAAATATGTTTAGAGTGGCATTTGTTTTCTGAAGCAGAAGGTCACTTGGGATTATTGTAAGGGATTAATTTTAACATAGGGTGACTAAGTTATCTGTAGCTAATAAATATCTCATCAAGACCATGGTGCTTTTGGGGGGGCACCCTCTATAGTGGTACCACCTTGTATCAATTACAGTGCTCCCCAACACAGTGTGTGCAGGATGATAGCGTGTCAGTCTCCCCTGTTCATCATCTTTTTCAAAGCTAATTAACGTATTAACTATGCTTGTCAAAATGTGGGGCAAATCATTTATAAATAAGCCTGTCAAGTATAATGAGATTGCATATTAAATCACCCTTCTCTCTATTACATCTCTGATTTAGAATTAAAATTAATTTTTTTAACATTGTAGCAGCTGGGTGGTTAGAAAAAAATTTCTGTACCATTCTTGATATATAGAAAGATGTCTGCATCAAAATTGATTTTGCATATATCAGAAAAGAAATTACCTAATTATTGAGTATTATAAGGCCATTTAGCATTGCATTTTTTAAAATAAGCCTAATCACCATACACTTTGGCAGTATACAGTGTTCTGCCATCATCCTTAACGATCTTTCTTAAGCCAAGGAAACTTAAATAATAAAACAAGGTTTCCTAGGACTCAGGTTTGTTTACCAGTGTTTACAGAGAGAAAAATCATAATTGAATCCTACTCTGGATAAACCTACTAAAATAAATTTGTTCCATAGAAGGTCCTATCTTGAGTAATTGAGTAATGGTAATAATAATAATTGATTCTTAAGCAATAGTTATAATAATTATAGCAATAGTGGATACTTTAATATGCAAACTATTCTAAGCCCCCTTACGCATTTTTAATTACTTACCTACTGTTCTATGGTACAGTGAAAGAAAACAAAACCCAGAGAGACTGAATAAAATAGTAAAAGCTGTACAGTTAGTGAGTAGAGCCAGCATTCTTACTCAGGGCTAACCCACTCAAAGCCCCTTCTCCGTACAACGTATTACATAGTCTCTTAAGATTATTTACAAGAAACTGTTTTTTTTTTTAATTTTGCTAGTAAAGTGATTCCAAAACACAAATCAGTAAATTCCTCTTTCAGACTTTACATTATGCTCTGAGTCATGTTGGATCCTTTGCATGCTACCAATAAAGTGGGTGACTTTCATTCTCACATGACAGCCTTGTGGACCGCCTTTCTCCCCTCACATCAGTTTTCTATATTACATAGTTTTATTCAGGGAGTACTTTCTTTGAAATACACTTAAGACATGAATCATTGGATTGAATACATTTTCAATGCCTATGCTGGCATGTATGCTCCCAACTCCTAAACATTACTCATTTACTTCTGCTAAAATGAATGAGCCCATTTTAAAAAGAATTCTGGTTAGAATGAGAATTTGAGTTCATGAGCTATATAAAGTCATCTGTCTGTCAACATTATTTACACATTTTCTAATTAATCAGTTCATAAGACCAAGGAGGATTCAAATTAGTCACTGTCAAAAGTAACAACTCTTTAAGAGCTTTTGAGAGCTGCTCAAATGATACGTAATCTGAGTGACTTATTGGTGTAGCCACTGACAATGCAATGGAACATGACAACGAAACACAGACAGTCAGAAGGGCATCTAGGGGGTTGAAAACAGCTCCTGGTGGCAGCCATGGTTTCTGAGCCATTCCCACCACTGGTAAGTCCCTTAAAATTAGAAAATTAGAATGATGTAGA